CTCTGCAGCACGTACGACTGTTATCGATGACCAAAGTGACTACTATGAGTTTGAGGGAAATAGCTGGTTGTCGAAGGAGGTACAGTGCACGTTTGTGAGAACATTTCACTTTGCAAGACTTGGCTTCTATGATGACACTGACTTATGTTCGTTATCCTTCTTTTCCTCCCCTTTTAACAGGAAAAGGAACTTCTGAGGAAAAAGAAAGAGGAGATAGAAGAGGCTGAACGTGCTAAACGAAATAGAGTCATAATGACATTTGACCTAGTTGGCCGCAAGGTTTTTCTTTCATTGCTATTAAGGAGGATATGTGCTTGCATCTTATTCCCTCTCTCTTTTGTTATTTTTTTCTTTCTTTCTTTCTCTCTTTCTTTCTTTTCTCTTTGTTCTCTGTCTTTAGCATGGAGGGTGGGAAAGTGGTTCATATCTTCTTGTTCTTTTGCGCATATCTTTAATCTTGCTTTTTCAATCATCAGGACAAACTAGTTTGTTCTTTTGGCTTTTGACTGTTGATTCCTATCTTTTCTTTATGCAAATGTGCTGCAGCATAGCTCATTATTTATTACCATGTTGATAGAGATTGCATATCCAAAATCTGGCTCTACTTTAACCAAATACTGATAGTTTCATAGCCCAAATAGTAAAATGACATTGGATTTGGTTACAAGCTGCACTGGAGTATTGATCCATTATTACTGTAATTGATGCTCATGCAATTTCCACAACCTGCTTGTTGATAGTCTAAAAAAGTTGGAAACTTCTTCGACCTCACTTTTTTTGTCATTCCCATTTTCTGACTGTGTGCGTGCGCAATGCAATTGTAACTTGTTGCACAGTTGCAGTGTTATTACTTGTATTCAAGGAGCATTTTCAGATCCTTGATCCAACACCTCAACAATGTAAACATTTCTTTTTCGCATGTTTGATTCATTGAAGATTTTAGTTGGGGAAGTTATCTATTGTTTCAGCTCTGACTTATTCTTAGGCACGGGCCTTAGGGTTTCTCTGCTTTTTTATTTTTTATTTTCATGGTGGATAAGCCTTACTCCCGTAACTTTTGTAACAACCTGAAGAACGCCTGCTGGTTGCTTGGAGTTCATCCTAATCGTAACTACAATGCCTTTCTTGATCTATATTCTGCAGGTTCTTATAAATAAAGATGAAGCTTCTGAAGAACTGCAGAATGGAATTCTACTCAGACCAGCAGGGGAAAAGGAAGCAACCCGCATTAGACCTAATCCAAACCTGAAAGTACAGCCCGTCTTTGTGGATCCAGGTCCCAGGAAAACTCCCAAGGCGAGGAATAATAAGAAAGGCCCGAGTAATGGCTTGTGCTTGGAGATTACTGGGAGAGTACAACATGATACCAATGAACTCTCACGTTTGATAGTAGAGGGCAAGCTACATGGATCTTCGAATAGCAACTCGTGGCACGAGCCATCTGTTAGTAGGACAGTCCGAACTTCAGATGACTCTGAATGTACTTTGGATTACTATTGAGAAGTATATAGCTGGTGAGTCGAGAACTTTCATCCCCACACCTCCGAACATGCTATCTTCAGATATAATTACTCAAGATGTCAACTGAGTTTTGTTTTTTCCATTTTTTCTGGGGTTGAGGATGGAGGGCAGAAAGTTCTATAAACTTACTATTATCCTGATTAATCAAGAAAAAAGGTCTTCTGCATATGTTTGTTCGGGAAGATTTTATGTGGAATTGAACTTACTGTCATCTATGTTCATCCGACATTATGTGGATGGATGCTCTGCACGAGCTGAGAAAATATATCAAAGTGCAGGTCACTCGGAAGCTTCCTATGTATTACCAGGAAGTTGCATCTTTTTATGGATTACATTTTTTTTTTTGGTAATTAAATCCTTATATTAACCACCAAAGTAATATTTACAAAGCAGTAGGTCAGCTCAACCTAACTTCCATACGGGATACAATCAATCTATCCTCCATCTAACTGCCTATCAACTATATCTATTTGTAATTACATTTTGCTAACAAAACTTTAGTATACCCCTCAGCTCTCAGACTACATACACAGGCTATCGCATGCTATCCTTTTTGCGAGGATGTCCCCTGTTTTCTCAGACTCTTAAGTTTCTTTCAATCCACAATGCATACACATATTCCGCAACTAACATTTTGAGTATTCTAGTCATTTGAGATCTTCCTTTTGTCTTCTGTACTACCCATTGTTGCCACTCTATCCATGAAGATAGACTAGTTTGCATTTGAATCCATTGCATGAGCCTGCTCCACAAATCTCTGCCATATGCACATTCTGCAAACATATGCTCCTTTGTTTCCAAAGCTTGCTTACAAAAACAGCATAGTTCATCCTTTTACAAAAACATATGGATTACATTTTCGTTTACTTCATAGTGTATGCATTTTTGGTTCTTTGATATTGTCAAATTGGGATGAAAAATAGAACACTCGCATTCTTTTACTCAAGCCTTTAGCTACCTGTAGGCATTTTCATTTATGTCAAAAATTGTTCCGCAGATAATACAACTAAACGAAGATGCAGTTTACTAGGAATTATTGATAGGGAAAATGCAAACAGAGGAAGATGTAATCTATTTTTGCTCATTCCTTAGTAATACCCTATTTGAAATTTTTATTTATAAAAAGTAGGACTCTAGTAGATTTTAGTTTGTCTTCTATGATTAACTTAATTAAAGGGAAATTTTCATAATTACTTAAGGATGTGTAAAATATTTCATAATATACTATTTGGTTTTGAATTACAAATTGTACAACATATATGTTAAAAATATACTCTAAAAATATGGTAACTATCCTTATTTAAGGGGAATGTCGTTAAATGAGGTATATTTGAAATGTATGGAATTTTCCTATTTAAGGGGTATGGTAGTCTGAAGCATATAGTTAGGCCCTAAATGTTCTCCAATTAATTAATTATTAATTATCAATATAAATATATTAGGTTACCACTACAACACTACCTCATAACAAATGCTCCATATTTCCTAAAAATAGGTACTACTCGTAGTTGGTATGCGTCTCTTGTATACGTGTAGAATGTTATATCCACATTACACACACACATATATATATATATATATACGGTATACAGAGCAATATATATTATATAGCTTACGTATATTATCTGTATATATTANTATATATATATATATGTGTGTGTGTGTGTCGTGCGCGTATAAAATGAAAAATACATAAATATATTATATAATATATATAATATACAATAATACATTATAAAAATAATTGGGGGAAGTAAACACGTTTTCGCTGATGGGGAAATAAAGAGGAAGCAAATTTGAGGGAAACAAAATATAATATATATATGATTAAATGTATATAATAAAATATACATTATTAAATTATAAAATAACATAATATATGTATATGTAATATAAACTAATACATTATCAAAAGAAAAACAGGGAGGCAAAACACATTTCTGCTGAAAATTTCCTAAGCCTTAGATGATTTTTGGATGATGCATAAGGTTCAAAGAGAAAGAAATTGGGGGTGATAATTTATAGTGATTGATATGTTAGATGAGAGAGAACCAGAAAGAGATACTACCTTTATGTGAGAGAGAATCTCAAGGGAGAGATTTTAGAAGATGAAAAAATGTACATAATTTAATTAAAAAGGTAAGATTTTTAAATAAGTTGTACTAAAGGTAATTTTGTAAAAGCAGTTGTAGAGAATATAAATAAATCTTTAAAAGGTTGTATTCTAGGTAAATTCATCTTAATTAAATTGTTAAAACATTTATTTATCTCATAGGTAACGAAATCCATTTTCTTGTTTTAGCTAAACATAATTTTTCTTAAAAAGAAAATTATTCAACAATCAAGGAACCAAATACTGAACATTAAATGGTAGTAAAAGGAAAAATTGGAGCAGAATATTTTTCAGAATAACATTATTCGTCGTACCCAATTGTTTTATATAATATTTTTTCACTTTCCAGACACGCAGCTGAAAATAAATGCTCGTCCTAGTCCACAACTCTGGGTTGGGAGATGGTATATCTGATTCTTTTTCCTTAAAAAGCCAGCCTAGTAATAATCCGAGGCGTAAATAACTCCAACTCCCCTGTTTTATTGAAAACATCGGATTTGTCTTTGTAAGTTATGTCGAATGTTGTTGTATACGTACGACTCTCACGAACTAAAATCTTTGCCAATTATCTCCTTTTCCCTCTTCTCTCAGCCCCGTTGCTCATTCTGACGAACAACATCCTTATTACTGTAACTTCCGATCAACAACTTTGTACTCTATTAGTACGCCGTAAATAATCGAACTATGCTCTGATCCTATTGGAACCGCAAAATCCTGTTTTTTGAGATCCGTAAGATTTCTATTCTCAGCACGTATTCGTCCTGTTGATTTCTGCTTATTTTCTCTCCGTGTGAGTGTTTGTTTTCTTCTTCTTCTTTTTGGTGCTGATACGAGATATAGTAAACTCTTGTGGGTGCTTATTCATTAAATTACTAAATACTCGGTCAATTCTTGCAAGAAAATTCCTGTTTCCTTAGTAGCAGTTGTTTCATAGTATTTCAGGAATTAGCACAAAACTTGTTTTGCGGTTCTTTCTTTTGTGCTCGTCATGTGAATGTTGCTGTTGAGATCTTTAATTAGTTCTGATATAAAAGAAACAATTGTTATTTCTTGATTTATATATGACGTTGGGTAATTGGATGATAAAAAAATGTCTGAAGTGGAATAACATAGTGTTAGTATTAATTGAATGTACTAAATTGGAACCCTGTGCTTTTTTTCCTCTTATGAGTTACACAGTTACATTGACATCTATTTGAAATTGCAAATCAAGCACATTTACTTGTTTATTACTTCCCTTTTTTAATTGTATATATTAGGATGTTTGTTGTCTTGACAACATGCAAGTGCTTGCATATTAAGGCTTACCGGTTAGCAAGGTTGCGGGAGGTAGAGCGCGTGTGACTGTTGCTTGCAATGAGATGTTGTTTGGTGAAAATGAGAATTATTGGTCTTCTATAAACACCTCTATTAAATGACACAATAAGTAAGGAGCTCGGCAAGATGTCATATATCTAGTGAGGGCAGAAGGTGTAGGCTGCACGCACGTTACATTTTGTTATGCAGACAAGAAGAGGGGCAGTACCTCCATAGAAAAATGACAGAGGGAAGAGGGTATGCTCATGATGTAGTGGCAAGTGCGGCACTAATCATTAACTGTGACTGATAACACCTTTCACCTCAAAATGCAGTGGACGTTGAATCTTGGTAATTTAAACAGTCGCACGCCTTGATTATGTCAGTGTTAAACAATGGTCTGAGAATTACTTCTTACCTGATTGTATTTCTCAAACCAAAATTTGTTAGTTGATATGGGAAGGTACAGGGACGGGCTTATTATCCATCGAGTTTCGAACCATGCACCATTAGTCCTCGGGGATTTCTCGGTTACCAAAAAAAAATGGTTGATATGGGGTAGTCAAACTCTTCATCTACATCCTTAATGATTACTTGCCATGAAAACTATTGAGCTTTATTTTCTCTCTTTGTTTCCATGTCATCTGAAATCTATAATACAATTCCAGATCAATCATGGCAATAAAAGGAAATCCAGGAGATAACAGAAGCCGAGGCCCGTTGCCAATATTTGTTGTAGTTGGACTTTGTTGTTTTTTCTATCTTCTAGGAGCATGGCAAAGAAGTGGTTTTGGGAAGGGAGACAGCATAGCTCTTCAGATGACAAAGAAGGCAGAAGACTGCAGCATCCTCTCCAATCTAGAATATGAAACTCATCATGGTGATCAAAGCGGTATGGTTGATGATCCCAAGCTAGAAGTCAAGCAGTTTGAGCCTTGTGGTGAGCAATATGTTGATTACACACCGTGTCATGATCAGATGCGAGCAATGACATTTCCTAGAGAAAATATGAACTACAGAGAGAGACATTGTCCTCCAGAGGAAGAGAAGCTGCATTGTCTTATTCCAGCCCCAAAAGGATATGTGACTCCTTTTCAATGGCCGAAGAGTCGTGATTACGTACCCTTTGCAAATGCACCACATAAAAGTTTAACAGTTGAGAAGGCAGTGCAAAACTGGGTCCAATATGAAGGGAATTTATTTAGATTTCCAGGTGGTGGAACTCAATTCCCACATGGGGCAGATGCATATATTGACCAACTTGCTTCTGTGATCCCAATGGACAATGGTACAGTTCGAACTGCATTGGATACCGGTTGTGGGGTGAGTAGAAGCTTTTCAATATATTCTTATCTCTTCACTAGCCGTCTTTACTGCTCTAATCTGGATGCACTTACTCTCGGTTCAGATGATTTATCTGCTGCTTTTTCGTGCACTATCTATCTGATAGTTGTACTCTTTGGTTGAATACTTTTACGTTTACAATATCAGTTAAGATTCATTTTCATGACAGCTGGTAGTTTGTACAAATTTGCATTATTTTCTTGGTTTCCTCTTCCTTTGCGAGGTTAAAGCTTTTACTTTTATTCCTTTTCTCATCATAATGATTTATGGTTCTACCCCAATTCAATCTCTTAATGTTTGACCACTGGCATATGGCATCTTAGGTTGCAAGTTGGGGTGCATACCTTTTCAAGAAGAACGTTATAGCCATGTCATTTGCACCAAGAGATTCACATGAAGCTCAAGTCCAATTTGCTTTGGAAAGAGGTGTGCCAGCAGTTATTGGTGTACTTGGAACCATAAAATTGCCATTTCCATCAAGGGCCTTTGATATGGCTCATTGTTCACGATGTTTGATTCCATGGGCTGCAAATGGTGAGCATCTTTTTCTGGATCTTTTCGTTTTCTGCGGTCTTTTAGTCTAATTAGAAATCTGATAAGGCAGGGGATTGCTCCTCTAGAAAGATGCCACCTATCTTGTTAGGCATATGTGCTTTTCATTTAGTATTCTAGGCTCTTCTCTGGCGTGTATATGATACCTTGGCATTACAAACTAATTGGTATCAAGACTTAGTTTTTGTTGTAACATTTTTATTAGACCTGGTTATTGTGGATCTTTTTCGCTTGGTGAAAGATTTGTCTGTTAGCGTAGGGTAAATATGATATTTAGAGAACCTCTTCTTCTGGAGAAACCCTTATTTACCTTGAAAGACAAATAATTTAATATTAGAAAAACTAGACCGGAGTAGAGTGGAATGGATATACAATATTCATATAGTAGACTCCTACTAGTAATCAACTTAGCTCAAGTCATCCTCAAAAGAGATATGGTAAACACAAGCTTTTACTTGGCACTTCTTTTCTTGTATTTGTGATACATGTTCTTTTGATAATTTAGCAACCATTTTCCAGCACCAATTGCCAACCCAGGATAATCCTAGATTGATTATCCCTTTCCATTTTGGATTGCCAAAACACAATTTCTTTAAACTTTCCAATGAAAACTGTGCTATGCTAATAAGCATATGTTTCCCTTAATTAAAGAATACACATTTCTTAGTCTCATTTTAGAAACCTTGCAAGTCAAATAAGATATTTTACTTGTCATATTTATACTTGTACTGTACTTAAACATACATTTGTACCTGGTCAACAACTTTCGTAACGTGCATCTACATGCAAAGCATGTCTTTCTTTTTCCTTTTTTGTATTACCCTTGGTGTTAGAGATGGAACTTTAGGAGTAAGCAATGTGTTTTTGGTTTTGATAAGTCTTCTTCTGAAAGAAGATAGTGCATGTGGACACTGATGAGGATTGGAAATTTACTCTATTGGCTGTTTTTGTATTTTGGATTTTTTTACTTACGTTCTTCCTTCAATTATCTTTTATTATTTTTATGATAACTTATAAGCTACTCTTTTTAGGTGGAATCTACATGATGGAAGTGGATCGCGTGCTCAGACCAGGGGGGTACTGGATACTTTCAGGTCCTCCCATCAACTGGCGGACTAATTATCAATCATGGCAACGGCCTAAAGAGGAGCTGGAAGAGGAACAAAGAATGATTGAAGAGATAGCTGAATTTCTCTGCTGGGAAAAGAAATATGAGAAAGGTGAGATAGCAATATGGAGAAAACGAGTAAACAATGAGTACTGCAGTGAACGAGATTCTCGTGTAACTCTATGTGAATCCTCGAAGTCAGAAAATGTCTGGTAACTTCTTGCACCTTATAATGTTATCAAAATTGCAATTCTCAAATGGCCAAATAAATGAGGATTTTCTTATCCTTTATTGTATTATTCAATGGATGCACAAAGCTGGAATGACAAGCATAATTGAAGTTATTATAGAGGACCCTTTTTATGATTGTTATCAGTCTCTTTAGGTAAAGTCTTTGTCTCTTAAGATTTTGAGTGGCAGTGATGTTTGATTATGATGTGGTATGTTTATTAGTCAAAGGGGATATCATAAGTTCTTTTATAATATATTTATCTTTATATTTTGTTGCCGTGCCCTAAGTCTTTCATCTTCTATGACCAAGCATGTCATATTCCTACAAGCACTTTCTGTTCCATACCAAAATCGTTTCATTCCCTTCTTATAGTGAATGTGAGATGTTGAAAACCACAAAATGTTTGCTATAAAATATGAGTACAATAATGATTATTAAAAGTACTGAATTGCATTACTTTTCGACTATAAATGGGAATCTGATGATTTTGAGTTCTCTATGACTTTGGTGTTGAAGTTTTTGGTCTCCATCTGATTACGTGATATTAAACCAATATATTGCTGTAGGTATAAGAAGATGGAGGCATGTGTAACTCCGTATCCTGAAACAAGGAATTCTGATGAAGTTGCTGGTGGAGAGCTCAAGCCATTTCCAGAGAGACTTAATGCTATTCCTCCAAGAATAGCAAGTGGATCTGTTCCTGGAGTCTCTGTCGAGTCATTCCAGGAGGACAACAAGTTGTGGAAAAAGCATGTGAAAGCTTATAAGAGAGTTAACAAGTTCCTTGACACTGGGAGGTATCGCAATATACTAGATATGAATGCTGGCCTAGGAAGTTTTGCTGCAGCACTAGAGTCACCTAAGCTGTGGGTAATGAATGTTATGCCAACTAAAGCAGAAAGCGACACTCTTGGCGTATTATATGAACGAGGCCTGATTGGCATATACCATGACTGGTAACTATATGAAGCTCTCTTATCTTTTATCATTGGTCTCTAGCATCAGTTCCACCTTCTTTTCATTAATTCTAGATGGTAAGTTGTAAAGAATAAGTAAAGAAAAGAATGTTGTGGAAACAAGAAGACTCACAATCCATTGGTCTGACTGTTAAGTTTATTTTGAGAGATGGTTCGTTCTCTTTGTCTTCTTACTTTGCTGGAGTTTCATCAGATACTGTCCAAGTTTAAATTCTTAGATATGTTTAGCAAGCAGAGTAGCTTCTCTATCTGTGACTATGCATAGGTTAAACTGTCAAATCGTGACAACTACTTTTTTGCTTCTTATATGTTTCCTACTAACTTCTCATTGAAACCAAGGTCTTGTTTGTATCTTCCAGTTAATGATATTTGTAATTGCAGTTTCTTTTGATTTTACTCATTGAGTAGTTGCTGCTTCTTGATATTTGATGTATAGGAGGATGCATCCTCATCGCATGTCCCACAAATATAAACATAACATTTTACTACCGGTTGAGCTCAGAATGGGTAGAGCTATACATTTGTTAGGCCGGGTCATGCTGCCAAAAGCAGAACAAAGATAACAATTTGCTGGTTAAACACCTCAGGGGCTCAGCCAGCATATGTTTGAACTTATTACTGTATAACAGTAGTCAGGACATGCCCTTTTACTAAATTTGAGACGAAAGGGACATAGAATTTCCCAGAAGGGGGAAGACTTTTGATGCAACCATCTTTTCATATTCGTATACCTGTGTAGTTTTCTTTCAGGACTCTGACAAAGGGCATTAGTCTGGGTTGACCTTCAATCATGATCACTACTTTATATAGTCCTTTTATATGACATTGAAGATACTATTCCTCCCCCAGGTTTCATGTCTCAGCATTCTCAGTTGACAGCAATAGCGTGACAGGACTACAGCTCTGTTTGAGCTTGTATTCAACTCTAAATCCCCCTCTTTGCATATACATAGGAGATAGCTTGAGGTTTGACCTTATAGGAAGTTTTTTGCATGATTTCTTCTGTTCGTGATGTTAAAATTGCAACACTATGAGCCAACCCTTCTCTGTTGGTGCTGATGTTTTTTTAGTGCTTTTACTTTTATAATGGGGGAGATTTTGGTATCTTGTGAATTTGCTATCTTGAGCTTTCCTTACTTTTTCTTGTTTTTCAAGTCTCTTATTGTTTGTTTCATCTTCCAAATTCAGGTGTGAAGCCTTCTCTACCTACCCTCGGACGTATGACCTTATTCATGCAAATGGAGTTTTCAGCTTATATAAGGACAAGTAAGTTCTTCAGACTCCACTTGATCTGCAGAATCTAGAGCATTTTAATTTAACATCTTCCAATAGTTTGTCATGGAGACAACTCTTTATGGTAGAAGAATACCATGTATTTAGCAGGTAGATGAAGCAATTTTCTTTATAAGACCCTTTTTTTTTGTTTTTTTGTTTTTTGGTGGGGTGGGGTGTGTGTGTTTCGGTCCATAATATTTCAATACTCCGTACTTAAGGATTATCTTAAACTTGGAGTTCTCTAATATACTCTAGTGGTTATATCTCTAGTATACTAAGAGTCTTCTAGTAAGCAATAATCTTCTGGTTGGTATCACCTTTACTAATTTTCAACTTCCATCTTTTTCTATCTTTTGCTGGATCTGCCTAGGTTCCGAGATATTCTAAATCTTTTGTGATAACTTCTTTCCATGTGATTTACTACCTCTTCCTCTTTTAACACCTTCAATCGTCATGTTTTCACATCTATGAACCGCAGAATCGGTGCATTTGAAGTCCTATGTAACACATGACGAAACCATCTCAACCCACGTTCTCTCCTTTTATCCTCTATATGCGCTAGCTGCATCTTCTGACGGAAGTGATCAGTTCAATCTTGTCTAATCTTGTATGACTGCAGATCCATCTTAACATTTACATCTATGCAATACTTATCTTGTGGATATGTTGGCTTAGAGGCCCAACATTCACTCCCTATAACATTGCTGGTTTTACTGTCGTTCTATGCAACATCATGTTCTAGTGAAAAAAAAATGATACGTGTAAATCCAGACATATCTTTCATTGCTAATAGTTTCAGTAATCTAAATCTTGATCAGAAGTTTCTGTGATCAGATTAACAAAGAACATCTAATCAGCACGCTCGTCGAGTTAGATCTTGTAAACTTTCTGATTATGTGAGTATTTCTACTGCATCTGAATTTTTTTGAATATACTTGTATACAGATGTAATGTTGAAGACATTCTACTAGAGATGGACAGGATTCTTAGACCAGAAGGTGCAGTTATATTCCGAGATCATGCAGATATTCTTGGCCAAGTAAAACGCATTGCAACTGGTATGAGGTGGAAGACAAAAATGGTAGATAATGAGGATGGTCCTCTTATTCCAGAAAAGGTATTGTTTGCTGTCAAAAGATACTGGGTTGTTGGAGATAACAACTCCACCGCCTTATAGTGAATGGCGTGAAGAGATCCCTATGCGCCAGAGTTAGTATGATTCTTTTCCCCCCGGGAATTCAAAGTTGACTACAAGGAGAGATCCCTGCAGTTTGTCATGGTAATCTTTTTCTTTTTCTTTTCCTTTTTCTTTCTTCTTATTTAGTGGTTGCAGGTAAGAAAAGTTTTTAGTTTCTTATCCTCATTGGTTGTTTATTAAGGCTTCATCTCATTCTCTTTGTGTAGTATTATTACTATTATAATTATTTTCTTTTTTCTTGATTTACTTTGCTATATACCATGTATTTATAGCAGTTTTTTTTAGAGATTCCAGCTCAGCAGAATGAGTTATTTATTGTTAGGAATCAGACTTACTTTCTGATGTCCTATTTTTCAAGAACATCTAACTGTGATCTTACTCCAGTGAAACAGTTTATTACAGAACTGGACATGGGCCAGGTTACTCTCAATGTTGAAACAGATCGATATGCAACCATCTCGGATCCAACTAGGCATTTATCTAACAGAAATGCCAAAGCAAAAGCCATGTACGCATAAATGAGTCTGTAAAATTGATAACCCTTAACCATAGGATAGCCAAATCATTGAACTACTGAATTTTTGGGAGGCATCAAATTCAAAATTCATTATGATGTGTTGTCTTGAGTCCCTACCTCACTTGGATGAGTGGCGGATCTCTGTCTTTTTTTTTGAGTTTTTTTTTGAGCCTCTTGTTATCTGCTGCCAATTCGCAGAAGTCCCGTCGCATTTATTATCCGTAGTTAATAGTGCATTCTTCCTGTGGATGTAATGACTGACTAAAACTGCAAACTGTTAGGCATAGAATGGAAGATATCTTTAGTTGAAAGAACATCAGAGGTGCTGTAAAGTCTGTGATTTATTGTGTTAGATTTGATGAGAGTTTATAAGGCTGTCAATATTAGGCTTCTCCAAACATGTAGGATCCACCATCTTAAAGCTACCTGACCCCCTTCCCTCATGTTTCCATGAAAAGCCATGTTATAAAAGGAGTGCATACAGAACCAAGAGAAAACAAAACCTCTTCAAATCAAAATTCATCCTATGACTTTCAATTCTTTTAACTTTTGCTTCTAAAGTAAGCCTCCCTCCAAAATATTTACTAAGCTTCTTTATATAAGTCAATTTGATTGATACCTCCGAAGATATTAATAGTACAAATCCTCTCGAACTAATTTTTTTCCCAGTTCAAAACTTCTGTAACTTTATGAAAGGAAAAAACATTTCTTGTCTCCATGGCAGCCGATGATAATACGACCAGCCTTCGTATTGCATCATTTTCTTGTTACCTCAGCAACCCTGAAGAGAGCTTTGTACAGAAAATTGGTGGTGCAGTTGAGTCTGCTCTTATTTCACCCCCTGAGATCCCCTTTTCCTTGACTGCAGTAAAAGCTGCTAAGGCAGCTACTGCAAAGCCGTCCTTAAACAGCAACCAAGATAACCTCGCGAATCTTCGCGTGGAATCTTTCTCTTCTTATCTCAAAACAAAGGAAGACAACTTTGTGTTTAAGAATTTAGCAGCTCCAGTTCAAGATCCTACTATTGCATTTGTATTTCCTCAACAGGTAAAGCAACTAGAACGAAACAAGTCCAAAGATGGAGAGATTAGCATATTTGGTGCTGACAAGTACTTCAACATGGACTTGGATTATGGAGCTGCTCCTCTCCCTCCAGCTGGGGTTATGAAGTACAGGGGAATAAATCCACCAAACCTGAAACCCAATGTACAGTCAGGAACTCCTAGCATTTGTTCTGAGGCAAGCAGCTGGAACAGTCAAAATGCACTGTTACGAAATATTCGGCGAAATGGATATCAGACAAAGCAGAAGAAGACGACAAGAAGATTTTTGGACACTTTCGCATGTCAACCTTGTTCGGACAAGAAAGCAGTTTATGTGGATGAAAGCATAGGACATGCAATTTCCCAGCCAGGACCAAAGCATGGGGTAGGTCCTTCTGCGTTGAGTTTGGCTCAGGATCAAAGCATTGAAGAGCAGAGGAAATCACTGGAAGTGTTTGGCTCTGGCAAAATGGGAAAAGGAGATATAGCAGTTAACTTAGAGAGGAAACTCTCTATGTTAACTTGGGACGCTATTCCTAAAGCCCAAAACCTCCCTACAACCACCAATGGAAGCAGCACAGTCTGTGATGACATGGCTAGCGATGCTAGCTCCGATTTATTCGAAATTGAGAATATATCCAGCAGTGGATATGGACTTGTGAATACACAAACTTCAGGTGATTGTATGTCTAGCAGTTGCATGTCTCCAACAACTCAGTACGCGCCAAGTGAGGTCAGCATTGAGTGGAGCGTTGTCACGGCCAGTGCTGCTGATTACTCGTCCATTATCTCCGATTATGATGAAAAAAACTTTGGCATTAGTGGTAACATAAATTCAAGAAATGCAACCAATAAAACCACCAAAAACAAGAATACAGTAGGCAAAGAGGTGCAAAAAACTCGCCCTAGTACTGGGCTTTTAGGTTGCAAGAGCCATAAAGCAGTAAATGTGGCTGAAACTGTGCATAAGACTAGTGATAAAGCAAAGCAAAGATGATTTAATTTCCTCTTAGTTCAGTAAATTTGAGATTAAAATTATTTTCTTATTGAAAAGGAGTGTGAAACTTAATGGTTTAGTTGGACCTGTACTTGGTATAATCTTTGGCTTAGTCACTATCTTCCAATCTTTAATAAAGGAATAGTTTGTATTATTGTAGCTAATTTGTCTTCCTCTTAACTGCCGACTCTATCTTGTCATCAGTAAAGTTGTTTCACTGTCAAGAAAAGCCACAGCAGCCTTCATACATAAAAGCATATATTTTTTCTCTCCAAGACAATAAAGCCAAGTTTAACCACAAATAAGGTAACCATCGGCCAACCTTGTCCGAAAAGAAGATATTATTATGGTTTGTTTATTTGTTTCTCCTTTCGTTATGCTCTCCTGATATTCCATAGTTGGTATTCATCAACATTTGAAAATCTACATTGAAACAAAGCTACTTTCCAAAAGACATGTTTGCCTCACTCAAGAGTCATCAAATCCAAATATTGAAGTTGGCATGCACCTATGTCCAAAACCCAAAAGGCCCTACTTGAACAGAATCTTGCTTCAAAATGAGATACATATTTGGACTTTAAACTGATGCCTTCAAGTGATGCTGTCTGCCTCGTCCATTGACAAAGTTTTCATTAGTGTTGAAATATTTGATACCCTTTTCATCTATGTCCGACCAACATGGTTGGGGGAGTGTGGCCATGCGACTTCCAAAACTAAGTAGTAGAATATTCCACTTGATTTTGAACTGTTTTATATGTAGCAGGTGCACTCGATCCCAAGTGTGTCTAACTATATTATCCGTAAGTCTGGTACAAAAGATCTGTATCAGAGTATGTTGAGCTCTTAGCTAATATTGTTTCCACTAGTTGAAGATCTGTAGTTGAAATAACGTGTAGACTCTACTGACACATGATATAATTAAGAATTTAAATGTGGGCATTTTGTTAATAACTTAAGCTTTTAGGTTCAAATTTAGCGTGCCTAAAAAACACACATTAATGAAGTAGCAATTGAAAAAATACTATATTTTAACAACTTAAGCTTTTCAAATGAAATGGTCGCACGTACTACAGGCTCTGCTAGCAATATTGGAAAACTTAAAACAAAATCCTCTCAAGCCACTTCGTACCAGTCCTTTGTGTCCCCCAGCCAGTTAATTGGATAACAACATTTTCAAGAGAACAATAGGATAAGCTTTGCCAAAACATCATATGCTAATTGCCATTAATGTATAATTTTATGGCTTTCATTGTCCTATTTAAAAGCACAGAAATTATATCTTAAAAAATTGTGTAACTTGTCGACAGGATGGGAAGAGACCACGTGTTCAATCTGTTAACGACTCCAAACTGTGGAACCAGATAGATCTTGATGCAAGAGGGGGGAGAGTAGGAACTCTAGAGTAGAATTATAAAATTAATTATATACTTCTAATATATAAGTATGAGTTCAATAATTGGAAGAATCAAAAGGAAATGTCAATCAAGATAACATAACCACATGACAATCATGCCTGAATGTGCTTGGAATTTGTCTGTTAGCAATTCTTAATTTTGTAGTCATCCTAATCCTCTATTTGGAAGCAAATAATGGATTCTCTAGTTTCTAACTGTATGTAGTTAATTATTACTTCTCTCTGAATAAAAATAAAATAAAATATTTATAATTAGATCACACGCATTTTCAATTCACTTACTCTAGACTCTAAATTCACCTCTCTAGTTTCTCTTTCACAAAAGAGTCGGCTGGGCTGGAAATCAGGTGAGCAATAAACCAAACCAAGAAATTTTGGGACTAACTATACTATCAAGAAACACTGACAGAATATGAACATTATTTTTATGCATGAACCAAAACCATGTTATTATTTCCTCATATGTGTACGAGCCTTAATCCTGGCAGATAAGATAACGCATGGTTTCGATGAAGGTGCCACAATAGTGTCACTGTGCAAGCCCATGGCATATATTGTCCGTTTTGGTCCAATAGACCTCGTGGATTTTTTCTCTCGCCATCATGGATCTTAAAGCGTGTGTATCATGCAAAATTTGTATTTTGCGTTATAAAGCTCTTCACTTTTCTCTTACATTCCGATGTGATTCGTCTAAAATGTAATGTGCAATCCTCAATCATTCTCTTTGACCCGCCCTCCCTTATTGGCGTCACAGATAGAAAGGTCCCATGTTTTTAATACGGATTAATAGTGAAGAAAAGATATGCTATGGAGTCATGTGGTTGATATAGGCCTTGATTGAAGAGAGAAGAAAGTTAGAGGCTAAACTAACAGTCAATAGCAACAGATTGTGGTATACTATGTGCTCCCTCCGTTTACTTTTATTAGTCTATATTATTCTAAAAATAGATTTTCAATTTTACTTGTTCACTTTCGCATATCAAGAGAAAAGTAATTTACTTCTTCTTTTTTTGACTTAGTATTAATTACTCATTGTAAATTATTTTTCAAATTCATTAAGACTATTCACCATTTAATATAGGTATCATGGTAAATTATGCAATTTATTTATTATGTCTTAAGGGATGTACAAAGTCAATATTGGACAAGTAAAAGTGAACGGAGAGTAGCTGCTATGTGACAGGCTTATTTACTCTTTGGTGACAACTAGCTGCTATGGCATTGAAAGAAGAATGTTTGGAGGGACTTCAAAGGAATGTTGGATATCTGCCACCAAAATTGAGGATGGAAATTCTCTAGGTGACTAAGGGGTGATTGAGTTAACATTTATTACACTGGTAGGCCAAGCAATGGGAATGTTTTTCAAGAGGGACCATTAGGAGTTGTGTA